AACGTTGCCATAAACACCAAATGGTGTTTCTGTGGACGTTAAATTGTCTTGCAACATCACGTTGACTCGACCCTGCTTCAAGCATACCAATGGCTTGCAGACGCTCATTTTCGGACAGGCATGGCATTTCGTAATGTTGAATATTTTGCGAAATTTTGTGGTTTTTCTGAGTGGTTGTTGTCAGCACGATGCTAAACAATCCATATGGAATCCCGTTAACGCACATGTTTTTATACCCATTCTTGGGTAGTGAAATGCATGGGGCTTGCATAAAAGTCAACTTTTGCATGGAATGCATGCTTTTCTGCAGCAATTTCGTTTTTGTGACTTGATTCCATACATGTCCTACAATATTGAAAACCAAATTTTACTTGTTTGAAAAATACACTAAAATATTGGTGTCACAGGAACTTTTGTTGTTGAGTATAATATGTATTGGGATGTTACCCCAAGTCTGTAACATGTATCATAAACTTACAACAGTCATGTATATGTCCAATTAACGAAAAAATAGACGGTCATTTTTTTATATATTATTCACCATACCCGTGCTCGTGGGTTTCGCCGAAGTGTTAAACGTCTGAAACCTGCATCACATCGGGCTTTCCTCCCACATTAAGCTGACACGCCGTGATATAACTGGAATACTGTTAAAAGCGACGTTGAACCCAACTCACTCACTCACTATATAATATTCACTGCAGCTTAGTTCATGTGTGGTACCAACTTTCGATCAGTAAATATATCTGTAAAGAAATATATACACGCAAGTCGATTAATTATACAGAGCGTTGTTATGCTAATGGGTTTTCATACGTATTTGTATCTGAGCAACACAAACTTAATTGGATTTCTTTTGCTTGTCTGAACTCTGTGTTTAGTATTAAATTAGGGGGTTACAAAATATATTGACCCTCAGTACCTATGTTTGGTTTTATGCCAATATAAATGCGGATCGGTGGGTCACAATGTGGGACTGACTGGATCTTTGCTCATGCTATTAGCCACTGGTTTGCTTGGTCTCGATTGTTTACAGGTCGTCGTGAAACAGATGCAAGGCACCTACTCTCAACTACAGAACGATTATTTGCATCACAAATATATTCATGAAATATCATCTGATACAGTAAACTACGGTTATAACGAACTCGAAGGGACCTCTAATTTCAGTTGGTTATAACCGTAGTTCGTTAAAAGCATATATACAGCATTTAAACAACAAATGGTCGGGACTAAAAAATTAGTTCGTTATATAGGTCAATTCGTTATAAGCGTGTTCGTTATAAACGTAGTTTACTGTATTTGTATTTGAGATTGGGGAATTACCAGTGTGGATGGGGACTTTGTGATGCAACTGACTGTGTTCACTCATCAGTCACAAACCGACACGATCCGTGAAGATTCCGGGGTAGAATAGGTCTTCAGCAGCCCATGCTTGCCGTAAAAGGTGACTATGCTTGTCGTAAAAGGCGACTAACGGGATCGGGTGGTCAGGCTCGCTGACTTGGTTGATGCATGTCATCGATCCCAATTGCGTGGATCGATGCTCATGATAACTATCACTGGATTGTCTGGTCCAGACTCGATTATTTACAGACCGCCGTCATATAGCTGGAGTGAGTGAGTGAGTGAGTGAGTGAGGTTTTACGCCGCTTTTAGCAATATTCCAGCAATATCACGGCGGGGGACACCAGAAATGGGCTTCACACATTGTACCCATGTCGGGAATCGAACCCGGGTTTTCGGCGTGACGAGCTAACGCTTTAACCACTAGGCTACCCGACCGCCCCCATATAGCTGGAATATTGCTGAGTGCGGCGTTAAACAACAAACCAACCAACCAACCACAAACCGACGCTCGTATAGCCGGCTGTTGATAACCAATATTGATTGTTGGGATATATGTTATCATGTTATCACATTAAGACAACTAAACAGTTTGAGGCCAAAGGTTTCCAAGCAGTCAGGTGACCACTGTGTCACATCACCATCCCACGTGCTCGTGGATCCCGGGACTCCCGGGATGTTTGAGTGTTATGATACTTACAAACATTGATGGAGATTTTGTTTTGGCTAAAGAATAGTTATCTGGTTGAAACAATCTGCCTCATAGACTTCCGATAGCTCAGCCGTTCCAGTCGGTTTATTGCATTGATGTCAAGATCTATGCTGGTTCCGCGATAAAACGAAGTTACGTTGTTATAGTGAAGGTTTGCTAGTCGCGTTGTTATCGAGCGATCTGCGTTCAACCTGGCATAGCGCAATTGACAGTCACCTGCTTTTAGAATGATATGAACAATTTGCAAATTCAGTACCAGAACATGGTCTGTATCGAATGAGTTAACATCACAGTCACACAGAATAAACACGTAAATAAACGCAAGTACGCAAAGCATATATGTTCACGCACACACACAGGATCATGGGACGATGCTCAGGTTGGAGCGCTGCCAGTGAACGGCCCATGAGTCATACCTATTGTCCTGTCTTGTCAAATGCGCAATAAAACAGTTTTCGACTTATACAGTACCTTGCTAAGTAAAATGTTTGTTTTGTTTGTTTGTGTGTTGTTTAACGCCGCACTCAGCAATATTCCAGCTATATGACGGCGGTCTGTAAATAATCGAGTCTGGACCAAACAATCGCAAGTGGAATACGATGACATGCATCAATCAAGTCAGTGAGCATGACCATCCGATTCCGTTAGTCGCCTTTTGCGACAAGCATAGTCGCCTTATTCGGCAAGCATAGGTTTCTGATGACTTATTCTAGCCCGGATCTTCTCGGGTTGTGAGTTAAATGAAAGGGAGGATGTTGAATATTTCTTTGTGTGGGAAAAATGGGGTAGACTTTCCGATACAAAGAATGCATTTTTCTAAATTCTTTATATCGTTTGCTTATTTATGTCAAATGTAAATATATGATACTAAACTAGTACTCGTCAGATACCCGTTGTTCAAATGAGTGGACTTTCTATTGCATATTGACTATTTTGATATTCCAACATGGCCGCTTCAAGGTCACAGTTATCTTATCAAAACGAGGTCAATACGAGGTCACCTTGTATGGTGCCGATGTGACGTACGGATTTACAATCTCACTACCTGTTCTTCGCCCCCTGTGTAACTGATATATCACATCCATGTAACGATGTGTTATCAGTGAAGACAGGTGATAACCCTTATTAGTGATGGAACAAGTACATGCATATAAAAGTACATCAAAATATTATTTTACAAATCAAACATGTATGTGTAAATCAATCACATATATGAATCGTTTCTAGGTCGAGCTCAGTTCAGATGTAGCGTTTCCAAGGTGAGTTCAGTTCAGATATATCGTTCATGGGGAGTCCACAGCAGCTTCCAAGGAAATCCAAGGAAATCTAGGGGCGGCCGGGTAGCCTAGTGATTAAAGCGTTCGCTCGTCACGCTGAAGACCCGGATTCGATTGCCGACATGGGTACAATGTGTGAAGCCCATTTCTGGTGCCCGTCGCCGTGATATTGCTGGAATATTGCTAAAAGCGGTGTAAAACCATACTCACTCACTCACTCACTCACTCGATGAAAATCTGGAATTATTTTATTGATATTAATTACAGATTTCTGTGCAAATGATTTCAAATATATCCACAGGTCACAAATACAGATACAACAGGTGTTTGTACAAACATAATGTTGTTCACAGATCGGTATCAGTGAAGATGACCTTCCCTTATCTACAACAATAACACATGTATGTGATCTTTAACCCCTGCAACTGGGTCAAGTAGCATCTCACAGGACTGAGAGGGCCTATCATTGCCTGTTTTCTCTGGCTGTCCCTGCCTGCCTGTGCATTTCAGGTCACATGCTACACTGAGTCGGCGTCGAAACGGCCAGAAGACACACAGATGCTCAGATGTATGGATAGACAACCACACCAAAACTAGACACAGACGCCAATCACGTGAGGCCAAGAAGTTCGCGGTGCAGAGTTGCCTCCCCTTTTCGCTGGCCGATCTATTGCTTGATTGGCATTACTTAAAAGTCGAGTGAGTGAGTGAGTTGGGTTTAACGCCGCTTTTAACAGTATTCCAGTTATATCGCGGCTTGTCAGCTTAATGTGGGAGGAAAGCCCGATGTGATGCAGGTCTCGGACGTTTACCACTTCGGTGAAACCCACGAGCACGGGTATGGTGCTAACAAACCTAGAAACATAATCGGGGCGAACCGGGATTCGAACCCACAATCATAGGTTTCTGGCGTGCCCAAGGGACGCAACTCTGCACAGCGAATCGCGGCGCCTTAGACGACTGGGCCACCTGTGCCCCCAAATTAAAAGTCGAGTCCACGACGACTGTCCTTGTTTGTCCCTTTTGTCACACACGATTATTGTAGTAAAACGTTTGTGACATGGGTCACCCACAATAAACTGACACGCTGCTGAGACTGAAATAAAGATCAAAGTTGCATTGGACCCTCACTCACTGATGCAAATCTAGCTCAATTCTACACATTGCGGGTTGTGTTGTAAGGAGGGAACTTCATCTCCCAAAAACTGATCACTGCTATGTACGGACGTTGATGTATATTTTCTGTATTTGTGTGTTTACTGACTATAGTTGAACAGATTTATGTTTAAGGAAGAGAAATTGGGATACCATGGCATGCTCTTAGTCGCCTTATACGCCAAGCATGGGTTGCTGCTGATGTTTTCTAATCCGGATCTTCATGGGGACACAGGTGGCCAAATCGTCTAAGGCGCCACATTTCGCTGTCCAGAGTTGCATCCCTTGGACGCCTCAGAAACCTCTGATTTAGGTTTGGAATCCCGGTTTGCCTCGATTATGTTTCGAAGTTTGTCGGCACTATAATACCCGTTCTCGTTGGTGTCACCAAAGTGGTAAACGTCAGACACCTGCATCACTACGGGCTTTCCTCCCACCTCCAGCTGACACGCTGTGATATGACTTGAATTCTGTCCGAAGTAGCGTTAAACCCCGCTCACTCACTCACTCTAAGGTGATTGAATGGAGGTTGGAGGAAAGGGGACAGGTCCAGATGCTGGTAGGACAAGGTGAGGTGGTGGTTGGTGGAAGAGGGCAGGGGGGTGGGGGTGGGGGGTGGGTGGGGGCAGGTCCAGATACTGCAGGTTAAGGTGAGGTGGTGGTTGGAGGAGGTGAGAGGAGGTGGGACAAGATGAGGTGGTGGTTGGAGGAGGTGAGAAGAGGTGGGACAAGGTGAGGTGGTGGTTGGAGGAGGTGAGAGGAGGTGGGACAAGATGAGGTGGTGGTTGGAGGAATGGAGGCAGGCCCAGATGCTGCAGGACAAGGTGAGGTGGTGGTTGGAGGAGGTGAGAGGAGGTGGGACAAGGTGAGGTGGTGGTTGGAGGAGGTGAGAGGAGGAGGAGGAGGAGGTGGGACAAGGTCAGGTGGTGGTTGGAGGAGGTGGGACAAGGTGAGGTGGTGGTTGGAGGAGGTGAGAGGTGGGACAAGGTGAGGTGGTGGTTGGAGGAGATGAGAGGAGGTGGGACAAGGTGAGGTGGAGGTTGGAGGAAGGGGGGCAGGCCCAGATGCTGCAGGGCAAGGTGAGGTGGTGGCTGGAGGAGGTGAGAGGAGGAGGAGGAGGTGGGACAAGGTGAGGTGGTGGTTGGAGGAGGTGAGAGGAGGTGGGACAAGGTGAGGTGGAGGTTGGAGGAAGGGGGGCAGGTCCAGATGCTGTTAGGGCAAGGCGTAGGCGGGTTCATCAGTCACAGTCTTTCGGTGTGACGCGGGATGATGGAGCTGTAGTCGGTTTGATTTGGGTTTCCTATATATTTCCTATATATTATATGAATACATTCATACCCTATACTGGTAACAATAATAACGCCTAATTGTTAAGGAATGGAGATGGGGGTGAGGTGAAATGGGGTTTAACATCACGAGTATTTCACTTCTTTAGCGGCGTGCATGCACGCGACGTTAAAACCAATGCCACCTCACCCGCCCCATACCGACCCTTTTTTAACTTATGTTGGCAAAGGAATATGAAATGAAACCATTACAGCATATGTCACGAAAGCATGATAGCAAGACGTGCACGTCTTTAGTAGTGCACATAAACTAGGATTGGCACCTGGCGAGATAACACCTGTTATCACACAGCACCACTGGCAGTAGAAACTTGCATAACTTTTTATTTGTTTGTTTTTGAGTGAGTGAGTGAGTATAGTTTTACGCCGCTTTTAGCAATATTCCAGCAATATCACGGCGGGGGACACCAGAAATGGGCTTCACACATTGTACCCATGTCGGGAATCGAACCCTGGTCTTCGTTGTGACGAGCGAACGCTTTAACCACTAGGCTACCCGACCGCCCTGTTTGTTTTTGAACTCAACATCATCCAATATTGCAGTTATATGACGACGGTATGTAAATAATTGAGTCTGGACCCGATAAACCAGTGATTGACGGTTTGAGCTACATCCCACGATAGGGGTACGATGTCAGCAATCAAGTCACCAAACTTGACCGCCGGATCCATTTAAAAATTTACGCATATAATAGCTTTTATATAAAGTGCAGTTCAACTGGGTGTGTCTTAATGACAACAAGACGAGTACCCGTAACAAACCGTGTAAACCAGTGTATTACAGAATATATGTGATGAGCGAAGTCGCGGGACAAAAAGGTGAAGGACTGTAGATTTTGATATTTAAATACAAATTGCACATTTACACATGATAGTCATTGTTTTAAGGATGGCGTGTGAATATGAAATTCATACCAGGAGATACAATGAGTGAGTGAGTGAGTTGGGTTTAACGCCGCTTTTAACATTATTATATCACGGCGTGTCAGCTTAATGTAGGAGGAAAGCCCGAAGTGATGCAGGTCTCAGACGTTTACCACTTCGGTGAAACCCACGAGCACGGGTATGGTGCTGACAAATCTAGAGACATAATCGGGGCGAACCGGGATTCGAACCCACAATCATTGTTTTCTGGCGTGCCTAAGGGACGCAACTCTGCACAGCGAATCGCGGCGCCTTAGATTACTCGGTCACCCGTGCCCCCAACAGGTGATACAAATGTTGACAGATTTAATATACTACTTCTTTCCCTGACGTCAATAATAAGAAACAGATGTTTCAATAAATGTGTCGCCACAATGGTGCTCAGATGGACAAACACCGCGTGACGGGACATATCTTGTAGGAATAGATAATGTTGATTACATACGTGCTGTTTATCAAGTTTGTCAAGTAACAACTACTTGTGCACCGAATGACAACGACATAGGGTTGGACCATGGGACACTAGTGAGGACGAACGTTTCCCATTAACCTTCCTCCACAAAGATGCGTGGTGACAAATGCTCCCTCCAGTTATTAGGGGGAGACAACTCTCTTTCGCGACACCGAGTTCGAGGACAATGGGGGTGGCCTGGGATTTTGTAGGACAGCTGTAGAACATCACCAGAGTCTCACCAAAACCGTTAGAAATTAGTATAACAAGGCTCAATATAATACTTCATATTATTAGTTATGGTGTCTTTAGTTGCCGTATACGGTGTCATATTAGGTTTGGAGAAATATATTGGGCGAGGCGTGGGCAAGGCACAATATTTTCTCCTAACCTTATATGACACCGTATGACACGTAAAGACACCATAACTAATAATATATGGCGCCGAACCACACCAACATGATATGCGCGTGCAACATTACTTGTTGGGCTATAAAAACGTTGGGTATGCGTTTGCATGCCATATCAATCTTACCGATGAGTTGAAATGGGGTTTAACGTCGCGTCCAAGATTATTGCACTTATATAGCGACGTGCATGTACGATTTATAGTGCTAGCACACTGAGGTACCATGCCGCAGTTTAACATGAATACCCCACTCAGACACAGTATACTGACGCCGAGCCGACCTGACCTTGTTTTAGCCCCAAAATGCCGAGCGCTGGCAGGGTAACAACAAGTGCCATCTTTAGGGAAACTAAACTCACTTCGGTTGCCTAACCAGGCTGTTGCATTCCCACTGCTGACCAGGACAGGTTGTTCTCTCCGAGGTCCGCGGCGAAATCCTGTGTCTTGACCGACAGTCAACGCTAGACCGTTACGGGTCGTCTTGCTGCTGGGTTGTCATTCGATACATACGTTTCCTTCGTAAGTAATTGGGGCGGTCGGGTAGCCTAGTGGTTAAAGCGTTCGCTCGTCACGCCGAAGACCCGGGTTCGATTCCCGACATGGGTACAATGTGTGAAGCCCATTTCTGGTGTCCCCCGCCGTGATATTGCTGGAATATTGCTAAAAGCGGCGTAAAACCATACTCACTCACTCACTCGTAAGTAATTACAGGGCAGTTTTAATCTAGTACTGACGTATTCTAGTTGTACTGAGCTCAACTTGTTGGTTAGGATTTTTCATACTCCCTTCTTCTAGAAATCCATGGATAACCAACTAACCCGGGATTGACTAGTTTAGGTCAAATACCTATTTCTTATTGGGCGTAAAGTTACTCTTTCGGCCAAGTACATTTATAATGATTGTGAGTCTAGATACTCCGTAGGTCAAGTACCTTGTATCTTTGGGAAGTTTAGAATTTCCTTGCCCTGTCAAAGTGACTAAGTCTTTCGTCTATAAGAGTAGTTAGCTATTCGGCGTTTTTCGCCTATTTTATTGTCCAAGAGACTTGTTTTGGGGATGGACCCTGTGTTTATTTCCTGCTATTTAACCCAGTCACAGTCAACTTAATTGGCCGTCTATGTATCTTGTCAATATCTTGTAAAAGTCTTGATTTAGCTACTACTTAATCCTACTTAATCTAAATTAAATGACATTAACCTACAGCGTTTGATAAGTGCAAGAGATAAGTCTTTGAAAGGCACAATGTATAGTGTCATGACAAATGATTGTCTAAATTTTGAATATTACTTAAACTACTGCAGGAAAACGTTTGGCGTGTCTTACTTCAGTTTTGAACTTGTAACCCTAATCTACCTGTTGAAACTGGGAGATGGAGAAAAAAAGCTTTAACCGAAAGAAAATGTCCGCTTTGTTAAGGTGATTCCAATATTTGTTAATTTGTCTATCTTCAGAAAACGAAAGAAAACAATTTTTACACAGATTTACGACATTGAACCCAATATGTGTATAATGAATTTACTTCTAAAAAATCCACGATTAGGACCATTGAGAAAATTGTCCACATTTTGTAAAACCATCTTGTCATTGTTCAAATCTATCAAGTAACTCTCTTCTGATTGAATTGTACATACAGGTACATTGTTACCCTAGTGATTCTGTATATATGCATGCATATTTATATGTATTATGTTGTTGAAATAATTGTGTACCTCTGATGCCGCTGACAGCCATCTTCCCGAGGCAAGGGAGTTAACTGACTTTAAAAGTCCAGTTTCCACCCTTGCCGAACTAGGTTGGAATTACTGGGCTCGATCGTAGCGCCACCAGTGGCTATTACCAGTTATGTCCCTTCTAAGCCTCTCCTATGGACCAATCAGATTCCACCTCTCGTATCACTTGCGTTTGCTTTACACAAAATGGTGGCGCCCAAGTCAGGATGAACTGATCGATAATCAAGATCTATATTGTGATAAAACGGGTCTTACATCGCGAAATGCATCAAATCACTTTGATTAAAAACATGAAAAGATTCGGAGAATATCTGCTGAAAACGAGTTGGCGGTGCACATGCTTTGCAAATCCTGCAATCGATCGAAATCTGCTCGACAGTTTACGAACCGGATTTCGATTTCGGTGCGCAATTTTGATTGGACTATGCATAGACTCGTTAGTCCAGCCAAACTGTAACTCCATAATACCAGCCTAGTTCGGCAAGGGTGGAAACTGGACTTTTATAGTCAGTTAACTCTCTTGCCTCGGGAAGATGCTGATAGCAGCCTGAGTGGAAAAAAGTTCCGTTCAGCTTGTATATGTGTCCTGGTTTAATTAATCAGTGGTCGTTGTCAGTGTAACATGGGTATTTTGATCCTTTTTATTGTCATCTATACTAGTCTATACAACTAGCTGATAATAATAAACCTGTGAACCTATTACCACGTTTCCATTATTTTATTCTTGTATAATGACACCCTGGTCTCTGTAGCACAACTCAGTGACACTCATTGATGAGCAGAGATACATACTCAGATTACAGGGTGCCATGACGTTCAGCTCCCTGAGAAGTATAGAACGAGGTCACGTCTGAGATTAATAATTTTTGTACAGGAACTGAATGTTTCAACCACATCTTACAGGGTTCTGCGGTCTACTATTGGATGCGTTCGCACAAAATACAATTAAAACAGGTTCGAATCCAACCATAAGGTATATGAGGTGACTTACATCACTATAAATCTTTATGTGTTTGAATAGCACTTCAAACCACTTGACAACGTGACCTGCCACTTTGTCCCCCTTCTATAAAAAATCAAAACTATTCCAAATACGACAATTGTTAATTTTTGTCATACTTTTTGCTTGGTTTTCAAAGGGCGAAAATGTCCCTTCTGGATTCATAGTGTGAGTAGTGGAGAGAGTAGAATGTAGAGCTTAGGGTGTCAAGCGTAGACTGTAGGTTAGGGAGTAGAGCGTGGAATGTAGAGTCTTTAATATAAAGCGTAGAATGTAGAGCGTAGAGTATAAATTGCTGATTGAAGAAAGTAAATTTTGTGTAGTGCGTAGAATGTATAGGGTAGGGGGGTAGGGCTGGGGGTAGGGTAGGGTGTAGAGTGCTGAATGTAGAGCTCAGAATGTAGAAGGTAGGGTAGGGTAGGGTAGGGTAGGGTAGGGTAGGGTAGGGTAGGGTAGGGTAGGGTGGGGTGGGATGTAGAGTGGTGAATGTAGAGCGTAGAATGTAGAAGGTAGGGCAGGGCAGGGCAGGGCAGGGCAGGGCAGGGCAGGGCAGGGCAGGGCAGGGTAGGGTAGGGTAGGGTAGGGTGTAGAGTGGTGAATGTAGAGCGTAGAAGGTAGGGTAGGGTAGGGCAGGGCAGGGCAGAGCAGGTCAGGGCAGGGCAGGGCAGGGCAGGGCAGGGCAGGGCAGGGCAGAGTAGAGTACTGAATGTATATAGAGTACTGAATGTAGAATTAGACCGGCAGTCGTCTAGGATCTACATCACTTTGATATTTTCTAGCGCCAGTCACCTGCTGAATCTGACAATCCGTGTCTGTGAAATGATTGAAATTCTGCTCAAAGTGACTTTGTCTAACTGACTTTTGTTTGTTTGTTGTTTAACGTCACACTCAGCAATATTCCAGCTATATGAGGGCGGACTGTATATAATCGAGTCTGGACGAGACAATCCAGTGATTGACATCATGAGCATCGACCCCCTCAATTGGGATACGATGACATGCATCAACCAAGTCAGCGAGCCTGATCCCGTTACTCGCCTCTTACGACAAGCATAGTCGCCTTTCACGACAAGCATGGGTTGCTGAAGATCTATTCTAACCCGGTGCTTCACGGGTCTCCAACAGATTCAAATGCTGTTCTCTTCACACGAGTCTTTCTGCCTGTCTCTGTGTATAGGGCCGAGGAGGAGCAATTGCACACGTACGGATCACTGAAGATGTCTATAGAGGATGAAGACGCCCATATGCATGCTTGGATTTATTGCAGATGTTGTTTTACAGGAGTTTATAACAGGGAAAATTAACAAAATTCAACAGACAAAATGTATAAAAAGATAAGACACGTATAAAAATTAAATGTTTCATCTCATTTTGGAATTCACGTCACGCGTCACGTGAAGCAGGCTGCCAGTTACAAGAAGCGGGGCTTTAGTTCTTACAAGAAAGTATAGGACAGAAGCAGTAGGCGTTGTCGGGCGTTGTCATCGGTTACCATGGTGACCGGAAGGCCGCGGACCAATTTAACTGAGAGTCTCGTGGTCGAACTGGTACTCTCCGAGACCTGGTCCAACGCGCTTCAGGTTGGTCACGTGGTCGGAGAGCTTCTTGATCATCTCGACCTCCTCTTCCAGGAACTCATCCTCCAGGAAGTCCATCATCTGCAGTAGCAAGACAGCAGAGACTCAGTTGATGTGTGACATGGGAAGATATGCAGTACAGCGACCACTACATACATGCCTATTTGACCTGACCCTTCCCCGCCTTCCCCTCTACCCTTACGGTATTTGACCTGACCCTTCACCGCCTTCCACTCTACCCTTACGGTATTTGACCTGACCCTTCACCGCCTTCCACTCTACCCTTACGGTATTTGACCTGACTCTTCATCGCCTTCCTCTCTACCCTCACGGTATTTGACCTGACCCTTCACCGCCTTCCCCTCTACCCTTACGGTATTTGACCTGACTCTTCATCGCCTTCCTCTCTACCCTCACGGTATTTGACCTGACTCTTCACCGCCTCCCCCTCTACCCTTACGGTATTTGACATGACCCTTCACCGCCTTCCTCTCTACCCTCACGGTATTTGACCTGACTCTTCACCGCCTCACCCTCTACCCTCACGGTATTTGACCTGACCCTTCACCGACTTCCCCACTACCATTGATACCATGACCCTCCCCACCCCCAGCAGTGTGTGACCTGACGCACCTGTGGGTCAGTGTTGCAGTCCGCCACCTTGTGCAGGTCCAGGAACTCCTGGTTGACGCTCTTCTCCAGGGCCAGGGCAGACTGCATCACGTCCAGGCCTGTCCCCCATTCGTCCTGGGGCGGCTTCTGCAACAACACGTTTACATGTACCCGACTACATCAACATTACACACACAGCAAAACGACTCAATCTGATTGGATTTATGCCAAGTCTGTTAATACAGCGATGATAGTTTTAATAATCTGTAACATCTGTAATAATCAGATGGAGATTCCCTAAACCTACATCACTAGATGTGTTATGATATTGTTCTTCTGATGTTTACTAGGTTCTCTAAAATGAGTAAATGCGTCCAACCCGTGAAGATCCGGGTTAGCATTGGTCTTCAGCAACCCATGCTTGCCGTAATAGGTGACTAACGGGATCGTGTGGTCAGGCTCGCTGACTTGATTGATGCATATCATCGTATCCTAGTTGCGTAGATCGATGCTCATGATATCAATCACTGTATTGTCTGGTCCAGACACGATTATTTACAGACCACCGTCACATAGCTGGAATATTGCTATGTGCGGCGTTAAGCAACAAACAAATACACATCTGTGCAGCTAAGAAGCAAGCAAACAAACAAACAAATGTGACCACTTTCTTAATAATGTTGACCCTGCTCCGACAGTAACGACATTGTAAGAGAATGGTGGGAGTGCGACATGTACGCTATCGTATGTTTTGATGACCTGCGTCGCTCTGTTGCTCTTGTCTGTAAATCTAGGACACAAGTCATCATTCACTGCATCCGTCGCGGCGACAGCGTCAGGTTTCAGTGATTTCATGTTTTTTCTGCAGCTCTATGGCAATCCATTGTTATCTGGGTGACCTGTAGCCCCGCCCTTAAATGTGATGTAGTATAGCCCCGCCCCTTATCAAATGTAAAATTTTGTAGCCTCGCCTTTATGTATACTGGATAATCTGTAGCCCCGTCTTCATGTTAACTGCGAAGTTCTGCAGCCCCGTCAAAAACTTACTGCTGACTTTCTGCAACCCCGTCCCTAAGTTACTGCTGACTTTCTGCAGCCCCGTCCCTAAGCTAACTTTGAAGTTCTGCAGCCCTGCCTCTGGACCATATATGGAGACCCACCCCATGTTAAACGTGACGTTCTGCAGTCCCGCCTCTGGACCATATATGGAGACCCACCCCATGTTAAACGTGACGTTCTGCAGTCCCGCCTCTGGACCATATATGGAGACCCACCCCATGTTAAACGTGACGTTCTGCAGCCCTGCCTCTGGACGATATATGGGGACCCACCCCATGTTAAATGTGACGTTCTGTAGCCACATCTCAGTGATTACCTTGATGTCCTGCAGCACGATGCGCCCACCTCTCTGGTTCTGGTACTTCATCATTTTCTCGGCGAACTCGCGCTTCTTGCAAGAGGCATCCTTGAGAAACTCAAAGAATCCTTTCAGGGCCACGTCATCCCGGTCAAAATACCAGGCCTGGAAACAACAAGAGTGAGTGATTATTGTTTTATGCCGCGCAATATTCCAACAATATCACGGCGGGGGACGCGAGAAATTGACTTCACATATTGTAGCCATGTCGGGAATAGAACCTTGGTCTTCAGCGTGACGAGCGAACGCTTTAACCACTCGACCGTCCCGGAAACAACAAGAGAATCAGCTGAGTCGGAGCAGAGGAAGCACACAATTATTAGAAAAATAAATAAATAAAATATTCTATCAAGTTATTCTTTGCTTTTATAGACTCATCAGACAACTCTACAAGATATTGTGAACATAACAGTCCTTATTTTCTCAATTCATCGTCTTCATCTGCATAGTGTATTATGATCACGCGCCACGTGCAATATGTAGACAGCTGTTCATGTGCAGACACTACATCTGAAGCTGGTGGTTCTAGGGTTACGTAACGTCCAATCAGCGTAACAATAAACCAATATTGTCACGCATATACTATTACTCCGTGAGAGAGGTTGTCTGTCTGAATAATAGCAACGCTACATTGGCTATCGGGTTACACAAGATTTTATCTCAACAAAATGTCAAGGACGTATTGTGGGTCAGCGCGCACCAGACCAGGACAAGTGCACTATGGCTGGGGGGAGCGTGGTTGAGTGGGGTGGGGTGGGGTGGGGTGGGGTGGTTGAGTGTGTTTGTGTGTGTTCGTTGTGTGTGTGTGGTGGTGGGGGTAATGGAGGTGGTGAGGGAGATTGTGTGTGGAAAATGTGGAAGTGGGAGAATTGTAAAGCTGTGACACTCGCTATGGATTAAGAGATAGAGATCTAAGGGTGACACTCGCCATGGATTGGTAGATAGAGATATAGATGTGACACTCAACATGGATTGGTAGATAGAGATATAGATGTGACACTCAACATGGATTGGTAGATAGAGATATAGATGTGACACTCACAATGGATTGGTAGATATAGATATAGATGTGACACTCACAATGGATTGGTAGATAGAGATATAGATGTGACACTCGCCATGGATTGGTAGATAGAGATATAGATGTGACACTCACAATGGGACAGTAGATAGAGATATAGATGTGACACTCACCATAGATTGGTAGATAGAGATATAGATGTGACACTCACAATGGGACAGTAGATAGAGATATAGATGTGACACTCACCATGGATTGGTAGATAGAGATATAGATGTGACACTCACAATGGGACAGTAGATAGAGATATAGATGTAACACTCAACATGGGACAGTAGATAGAGATATAGGTGTGACACTCGCCACGGATTGGTACATAGAAATATAGATGTGACACTCAACATGGATTGGTAGATAGAGATCTAAGTGTGACACTCACCATGGAATGGTAGACATAGCTACAGTTCAGCAGGACGTTAATCTGTTTGTTGACGCCCGCCTCGCTGTTGACGTGGTAGTTCTGACGTGCTTGACTTTCTGGCATGGTGGCAGATAAGTTCTCGTATGGAATGTGGAATTGTAGATGAAAGTTTGACGCTCCTGTCTTCTTGCCCGTACGCACACTGACGCAGCTAAGCAAAGAGTAGACTGGGGCCACTCTTGTCACCTGCAGCTTATATACGGCTCGTGGAGCTATCTATGGTCACGTGATGTTCCCCAGTCACATGGTGACAAGTTGATGACGTCAACCAATTATTGCAGCAAATCAAGGTGCACACTGCACACTGCACACTGCACAGAATATAATGATGTCATGTCATCTTGACATTGACACCCTGGTATGAGGGCCGAGGGACACAAGACCTGTTAGCTTGGCCTGAATCAGGAACTCACGTTTAATTATTATTCATTTTTTACCACTTTGTATTTGGTTTAGAAAAGGCCTTTAAGATGGAAACTGTCCTTACCTTTTCCCCGACATACATTCTGTACACGCACCTTCAACAAATGATAAGCTAACTAGTTAATATACGGTTGAAACCCACCATTCTTTTTCTTTGAGGCGTGTGTGTGCGTGCGTATGTACGTCTGCTCGCGCGTGTGTGTGCGCGTGCGAGTGTGTGTATGTCTGTCCCTGTGTGTGTTGAGATGAGGTCAGCGGAGAGGAGGGTGGAGAGTGGAGGGGGTGAACCGCTGTTTTTGTTTTGCGATATAATTTTCCAAACACACCGAACGTCTATTCAGTATTCACCACCTATGTCCTTATGGCGTGACTGAATTATCTAAGGTTTAATGTGCATGCATCTGTACTTATGTCAGACTGATAGTCTAGACATGTTCATGCAAACAGTTTATCTGCAAGCTTAATCTGGGACACGTCTGTAAAGGTGGAATATCATGCTGCTTTAATTTGTGGTGTTGTTCGTTTGGTGGGTTAGTGAGTGAGTGAGTGAGTGAGTGAGTGAGTGAGTGAGTGAGTGAGTGGGTGGGTGGGTGGGTGAGTGAGTGAGTGAGTGAGTGAGTGAGAGACCCCAGGCCTTCCGCCCAACACGCGAACACTTTAACATTACATCGCCCATCAAACTATTAACATTGGAAAAATGGACAAAGTTTTAAAAATATTTTACATGCTACATGCCATATAATATGGGATTGGAAATTGTGAAATAAGGAAATATTACAACTAACGGGCCATGTTCCAGTTAACGAACATCGGGCATGATCCAGGACCAGTATTTCTCATTGTGCTGGTCAGCCAGAGTTCGGTAAACACATGTAAGGCGTCAGTATCTTCATCTGTATTTACTGCTGTGTATCATCCACCCTTATGAAATCACACATACTACGTATACATTCGTGGCATATAAGCAACCGGTAAGCTATTATTAATCACACTAATATAATTAAATTTTAATGAACGTGACATGCAAAGTAGAAAAAGCAAGGCTTGCTTGACAACGGTAATAGGATCTATACCGAAACGTCGGCTTTACAGTAAATATAGAAGTTGTTATCTAAAATTGTGTCTACTTTGTCATCCGTCAACTTCTAAGTAATGCCCATGAAACAACTGAAAAGTGACAGGATTCGAGATGTTCACAAATGCTGGTAATTCTGTTTCTTGTTCATCTGCGTTTCACATCCACTCGTAGGTTAGACAGGCAGTCAAATGGGATAAAGCGATAAATATAAAATGTATGATAATATAAAACCTGCTTTGGAAGGTGAGGTGAAATGTGGTTTAACCTCGCGTCAAAGATTATCGCACTTATATAGCGACGTACATGCACGTGTGCGTGTGTGTGTGTGTGTGTGTGTGTCTGTGTGTCTGTATGTGTGGCTGCTTGTACCAGTCCGGACTAAAGCCGATTTTATAGTGCTAGCACACTGAGATACCCTGCCGCAGTTTAACATGAATACCCTACTCAGACACAGTATACTGACTCCGAGCCGACCAGTCCTTGTTTTAGCCCCTTAATGCCGAGCGCCAAGCATGGTAAGAACAAGTACCATTTTGCAACGTCATTTGCTATGCCGCGGCAGGGGATCGAACCCCGGACCTTCCGCTCTCCGGGCGGACACTCTACCACTACACCGCGGTGGCGACCCGGTTGGAAGAAACAAATCTATCAAAGATATAGAGTAGGATGAAAAGCAACACGGGAGCAGGACTTTCTATAGATAATCAGATATCACCAGGAGTGTAGAGATAAACAGATTGGACTCTCCTCGGCAGTAGTGGGAGCGATGGGGTAGCCTAGTGGTTAAAGCGTTAGCTAGTCACGCTGAAGATCCGGGTTCGAAACCCCGCAGGGGCACAATGTGTGAAGCAAATTTCTGGTGTCCCCTGCCATGATATTGCTGGAATATTACTCACTCACTCACTCGGCAATAGTGGGCGTTGAGGGCGACATCAGCTATATTATCGATACTTGTGATACAGTGATATTATCGATACTTGTGATATAAGCAATACTTGTTATATTAGCGCTATTAGCAATACTTGTGATATCAGCGATATTAGCGATACCTGTGATATTAACGATATTAGCCATTCTTGTGATTATAGCGATACTGGCAATACTTAGGATATCAGCAATACTTGGGATATTTGCTATTTTAGCAATACTTTGGGTATTAGCGGGATTAGCGATACGTGTGATATTAACGATATTAGCCATACTTGTGACACAGCGATATCAGTGATACTTGTGATATTAGCAATACTTGTGATATTAGCGATATTAGCAATATTATAGTCCTCGCCACCTTTAATAGAATCACGAAATGCAGCGATTATTAATAAACGAAGATAGCGGCATGTTTTCCAATACTTAAAATCACAAAAAAAGCCAATCTGACGACCAAAAATGATAAATATTGCAAACTAGGCTTTTCAAGAAATATCCATTTTGTGAGCGATAAACATCATACTGGTTATCTTTCTGATCTATCAACATACCAAGGTATGTGTAGCTAGAAATCATTTTGATGAGTAATGGAGGATCAAAGTCATTATTACAATTCAAATATTCAAGTAAAAGTGACAAAACCCTTTCCATATTCTCGCTGTGCAGAGTTGCGTCCCTTTGGCACGCCAGAAACCTATGATTGTGGGTTCGAATCCCGGTTCGCCCCGATTATGTTTCTAGGTTTGTCAGCAACATACCCGTGCTCTTTGGTTTCACCCAAGTGGTAAACGTCTGAGACCTGCATCACTTCGGGCTTTCCTCCGCAGCGATATACCTAGAATACTGTTAAAAGCGGCGTTAAACCCAACTCACTCACTCACCTTTCCATATTCATAACAAAAAAAATCTTCTAAATTCAGAGTCGACTAAACAATTCCGACTGTGTCATGAGCACGTGTTTATGAATTAATATAAGATAGTTATGAGACCAGGGCCCTATTGCACAAAGCGATCTTAGCGCTAAGATGATCGTAACTCCCATACTTTAACATAGGCTTACAATAGTCTTAGCGCTAAGATCGCTTTGTGCAAGTGGGCCCAGGTGTTCGTGAAAAGGTGAGCGTATCCTGCCCCACTTGTGGCACCCGTCACAGACATATGCAAAGGCATGTCTATTGTTCACTGAAAAAACACGGGAACGCATACAGGTCAAAATAAGGAATTGCATTTGCCAAAGGCAACTGCCACATCGAACATTTTGTAAAGGAATTGTCAGAACACTTTAACATATTAGAGTGAGTGAGTTAGGTTTAACGCCGCTTTTAACAGTATTCCAGTTATATCACGGCGTGTCAGCTTAATGTGGGAGGAAAGCCCGAAGTGATGCAGGTCTTAGACGTTTACCACTTCGGTGAAACCCACCAGCACGGGTATGGTGCTAACAAACCTAGAAACATAATCGCGGTGAACCGGGATTCGAACCAACAATCATAGGTTTCTGGCGCGCCAAAGGGACGCAACTCTGCACAGCGAATCGGGGCGCCTTGGACGACACGGCCACCCGTGCCCCCTACATGTTTTAGAATAATATGAGCACAATGATCATAATCTCTTGTTAAATAATGTTTGAACATTCATTAACTAGCTATAATGTTTAATGTTCTATTTGTATGTCGCACTTTGCAATAGGACCCTGCCTTCGCACCTCCAGCCACGTGATGAGGTAAGATCATGTATGTGTAATTGTGGCTAAATACCTGACAAAAAACAACATATTTCATGAAAATTAATAATACAAATAATAATTATAAAATCGGTTTTCCTGAATCTTAAGTTTGTCGTCTTGGCCAAGTTCCCTTGTTTTGCGAACCCGAGCAGAAATTCCGATTCATATGCATGAAGAAACAGATCAGAAAGAAGGGGAGCACAGTTGGTGCCCATGGGGATGCCTACTTCTTACCTAAACGTCTTACCCTCAAAGGTCACATATATGTTTTCTATGAGGAAGTCCAGCACTTCACGTGTTTCTTCAGTAAACTCCAAATAACATTTGCTATAATTTTTGACAAATTGCTTTGAACCTCTGAATAAAGAGATATTTAGTGACAAAAGCCCCATGGATCATAGGAGTGGTGTACAAAGTTGAACAATCAACTGTTTTGAGAGATTTAAACATGGTTCGTTTCTGAGATTGCAAAAGATCATTGCTTTACCTCCACTCGTCTAAAATACTTTCTGTGAATATAGAGGACATTGTATTAAGGTTTATGGTTGTCTACCAGCATCAACCATGAAATTTGTCGTCTTTTAGACACGATAGGTTATACACGAGCACATGCACACACACGCGCGCGCGGACACACACACAGACACACACAGACACACACAGAGACACAGACACACACACAGACACACACACACACACACACACACACACACACACACACACACACACACACACACACACACACACGGATATTTATTGGGCTACAAATAGGTTTTGTCGCATGCCTGCTGTGGCTTGATGGTGAACATAATTTCTGGATGACCTTGTCAGCTATCAGTCACAAACGAGCTGATTAGCTATCATGTTTACTGGAGATAGCAGGTACAGCCGCCACCTATGTCAGCACGGCCTACAGCGGCCGAGTGAACCACTTGTGAAGATGTGGGACACTCCTGGGTGCCGTTGTGCAAAACAACCTTAGCGCTACGACTGGCTTAAGTCTATTTCATGGTATGGGAGTTAC